CATTACCTGAAGTTCTAGGCAGGAGGGTCCTTTCAGAGGCTCAGTAGGCACCAGCCAAAATGCCCAGAGCTCCTGGCCTCTGACATCAAGAAGGGAATATTGCCACTTCTCAATAAATAACAATGCAACTGTCCCTGAATTTAATTATTTCTGTCCATTATCACCATAAACAATAATTATTGGGTGGCTGCCTTTTGCCAGCTTTGTATGCACTTATGAATAAACCTCACTTTATTGATTTACTAAGGCCAAACATTTAGCTCCACTAACAAGGGCCATAACCACCCCCAACTTGGCACTCAGTGATGCTTTAATGTAGGCTCCCTCATGCTTTTCATACGAAAGATTACCCCCTTCCCAACACCATTCTCTGAGCAGCCAATTGGCCACTGAACCCGTCTCTCTGAAAATGTCCTTAATTAATGGGGTGCTCTGTTCATGGAATCCTATCATAGTAACACACGTGGGAATGCTGTACTTCTAGTTTGCCTTCCTCGTAACATGTAACAGAAACACAACGCCTCGTCTTAATTGTCAGCTGAAATTAATAAACCATGGGGCAGGAAAATATGAAAACAGTAAAGAAGTTCTATGTGCCCCATAAAAGGATCATCTGTCACTGAAACAACTGAAAAAGACAGGAGACTATTTTGGATGCATTCAAATGACCCCCGCTCTGCAGTCTCCATCCAACAGGGAGAGACACCCTCCTCCCTGCTTCTTCCAGGGGATACAGAGGGCAATAGATATGTCCCATGCACATCTTTTGCATCCACCACTCAGCTTCCAGACCACTCAGTCTTGGACAGAGAATACTCCTTTCTCTCTGTTTCAGATAGGGACCAGAGATGCTAATTCCTGACTGAGACAAATCCTACCTAGGCACTCAGAATAATCTGCTATCCTAGTTAATATGTCCTCCAATCCATTAAAGCTCTGCCAATCCCAACAGCATCATGGACACTTGACCCCTGTGATTAATGCTTAGGACAGATTCTTGATTTGTATAGATAGCTCCTATTTCCAAATCAAATCCCATTACCCAAAAACCATAGAATTTCACATCAGAAGGCTCTTCAGAGGTTATATACCATGACTACTGTTTCAAAGGTGAGAATTCTGGGGAGCAGTGAGTTCTTACCCTAGGAAGCTAAATTAATGGTGGAACCATTAGATCTCTGCTCTAGACCCAGTGTTCGTTGGTTTATGCCATTTTGGTTCCTGGAAATCCAGAAGATCTCTGTTACCACAGAGCTTCCCAGACAGAAACTTTAGTGTCATGTAAATATTCTCCAATGCTGTTCAACTTCAACCACAACAAAGATGAGCCAGGTACAGTTGTAGAATTCACAATTCTCTTAGCTCTCTAAGAAAACCAAACCAACACAACTCCCCCGTTCCAACCACAGATTCTGAGTCCCTTTGGAACAACCACTGCCTGCCTTTGGTTACAAAGCAATAATTATCCCATCCTCCAGCAATCAATAAGACCTCTTGCCCCATGACCCTGAGATTTCCTGACTTTGTTCTCTGTACTAAAGATTTCCAAGTCATATTGATTACCTATAAATTCTTTCAAGTTCTTTATACACCAGCACTAGAGAAATCCTCAATTTAGGGTCACTTACTGCTGAACAGACTTCAGATCTTTCTGTCATGTTAATGGGCTCCCTTTTCTAGGCATTTTCCAATTTTTCATTCTGAACTTATTATCTCACAGGCGCTATGTCTTGGCTAATAGCCCAGCCTGTGGGATTCAAACTTGATGGGTTCTGAAACTGTGACTATGGCCACGTTTTTCTTCCAAGTGTGAGCTAGGAGCTGATGAATCAACTAAGCCTCTTCTTTCGGGTAACAGCAGGATCCACAAATCCACAAGCTCTTGGACTGTTGTATTAGAATTTCTGGAACATCGCCCTAAAACCCCTAACTAGAGTAGCTTCTAACTGAAGGGTATTTAACTCCTCAAGTGTCAGACTAAGAGTCACACGTGGGACAATGAAAGCACAGCCATAGACAGAACAGGGCCCCAGACAGAGATCCTGATTCTCAAGGGGCCCCTTGGTGGACCCCCCATATGCCTGGCCCCTCCTATGAGAAGAACATGTGTACCTTGCCAAGGTCTGCAGAGCTGGAGGGAAAGGATCTAATTCTCTAACTAGAACTGGTATTCCCCAGTACTCCAGCAATACAATGCATCCATCCAGAATGACTTTAAGACAGATCAGAACACATAGGAAAATGACATAATCAAATGTTACATTGAGTCTTCTCACCTCAGTGTCAGTTTAAATTCAAAGCAAGATCTGAAAATGTCATTTGTGACCAATTTTGCCTGGGTCTGGGGGAGTTGGAGTAGAAATTACCCAAAAAAAAAAACCACAGTGCACTTCTCTGCTCAAAGCTGCCTCTACATACTCACATGCCCTAGAATTTGTATATGCAGAACTGGGAATTGAGATAAAGCATTAACATCCTAACAACCATTCTCCAGGGCTCACCCAAACAGTACCCTTCCAAGAACAAGGAGGAAATAAAGGCTTATGTTGCTAGATAGAAAAACACGGGCTATACTAACTTGAAATGCAAGGAAGAAAGGTTAAGAGAGACAACACAATCATTGCCCTAGTGACACTAATGATGTCTGAACAATCTTTAAGCAGAATTCCAGCTTCCTTCAGTAAATTTCTCAATCACTCACCAACTTTATTGAGAACTCTGAAGACTCAGGCAGTGTGTGCTCACACTGGGGAACACAGGTAAGCAAGCTCACAGCATGGAGCTTACTGTCCCTACACTATATGGATGGAAAAAGAAATTATGGTAGACTCATATAAGGAGTATTACTCAGCCCTATAAAAAGAAAAAATCCTAACACAAGAGCCAATATGGATGAGCCTTAAGGATATTATACTAAAGGAAAAGACAAAACACCAAAGAACAAATGCCACCAGACTCCATATAGGTGAAATGCTCAGAATAGCAAAGTCTATGGAAACAAAAAGTAGGAGGGGGAAACTAAGGAATCATTTGCAGTGATAAAAACATTCTAGTGTCAGTTACAGTAGTTGCACACCTTGTACATATACTAAAAGTCAGTGAATAGAACTTGTGTGTGTGTGTGTGTGTGTGTGTGTGTGTGTGTGTGTGTACCTGTTCTGGTGCTTGAACTCAGGGCCTGAGCACTGTCCCTGAGCTTGTTTTTCTCAAAGCTCCCACTCTACCATTTGAGTTATAGCACCATTTCCCATTTTTTCTGAATGGTTTATTGGAGATAAGAATCTCACGGTCTTTCTTATCCAGGTTGGCTTCGAACCATGATTCTCTGATCTCAGCCTCCTGAGTAGCTAAGATTATAGGCATGAACCACCAGCACCCGACTGAATAGAACATTTTCAAGAGATGAATTTTGTGGCATCTGAATTACATTTTAGAAATAGCAAAACAAAAAAATAACAACAAAAAAATACTTTGTGGATACAATCCACATTGAGGGCCCAATCATGTGAATATGGGTAGGCAATCCAAAAAAGTGGACAGCTGGAAGAGGAGGTGGAGGAACAAGTCCCAAGAACAGGACAGAGAAGACATAAAGATGAAAACAAAAACCCTTCTCTCGCTCTCTTCTGAGACAACAAAAGGCCAAGGTCACCTAAAACCAAGACAATAGATTCAGTCCTGACGGCTGTCACAAAAACGTAGTTCTGAAAATGCCAGCCATTTTTCCTGACCCTCTTTCTCCTTAGTAAGCTATCAACTATGTATTACAAAAAACTATTAAAGAGAAAAATAAAAATAAAAACCAGATCCTCCTTTCAGTTAGAAAAACAAAGTTGAGGGAGAGGAAGTTCGACGAGAAATGTACTCATTACCTTACTTATGTAACTGTAACCCCTATGCACATCATCTTGACAATAAAATTAAAATTTAAATAAAAAAGGCAAAAAAATTAAAATGCTAAGGCAGCTGTTGGTGACTTCTAAAACCATACATGTTATTTCCAGAGAAAACCAGGCAGCTGAATAGGAACAAGGATATGATACATGCTTGAAAGACAGAGCACCTAATGCTGTCACATAACAATGCTACCAAGGCCTCACAATGAAACATACAGAATGGGGAGCTGAGAGTCAAATACTTGGTCGAACTCAGCGTTTACATGGTGAGAACCAGATGAGCTTTAGTGTCTTTGTACCCCACAGCCATTTTTTTCGCCAATAGGATCTCTGAGCCTCAGCATGGCTGGCAGGTTGAGCTGGGTAGTTCCTAGTTGTGGGGTCATCCTATCCATTGTGGAAAGTATAATAGCATTCCTAACTGGGCCCGCTGAGTGTTAGGACCAGTGACTCCTTCCTACCATGAGCCCAATCCAAACTGCTTCCAGCTATTACCAGATGTCCATGGGGCATAAACCACCCCCTAACAGAGAACCATGGGTTTATAGTAACTAAATTGATCTCATCTCCATGGGCCAAGGGATGTCAGTTCTCCTCTTTCAGTTTTCTAAATGCTTCTGATTCTCCTGGTCTCTCTTCAACAAGACATGTTAAAACTTATTAGAAAGCCAAGTACTAGTCACTCTGCCTTGTAATCCTAACTACTCAGGAGGCCCACATCTGAGGGGATGCTTCTGTGAAGAAAAGCAACCTACTCAACTACCAGAGAGGAAAAAAACAAGATCTCATGCATAAGCATCTCATCAGCTTTCTTCTCCCAACCGCTAAAAGCAATAGAAGGATTCAATTCCAATATGTTCACCACCTATAGGTCCATAGCTGGCTCAGCAGTCAGGGCCAGGCCTGCCAAGTAGAAATAAATCCACTTCCCCCAGCTCCAATGTTTTCCAGCTTTTAAGAAAGCCCAAGACTGAATTTTTAAAGAACTGGACAACCTTGGCAATAACCCATTCAGAATTTTCTAGGAGGTCCTTTCTGACATGACAGTGAATACAGGCCTGTTGAAGGATGATCACCAGACTTCGTTCGGTAGAGGGTGCTCACCGTCGGGCGGCATCAAGACCTTGTTGTTCTGTGTGCACCACCCCACAGGGTGGAGGTCTGCTATGACCACATCACACCAGAAGTCAGCCCTGCGGTCTTCCCCATAACCACAGTAGCGCAGAAGCAGCAGCTGCCCGCACGTGGTGATGATCGTGGCCACCCAGTACGTATCCGGGTTGTTCTTGTTGGCCACCTCCAACTTCATGCCCGGCTGGAAGTTGCTCTGAATGCTAATTTCAACCTTAAGAAATCAGAAACAGAGAAACACCATTTAATCCACTGGACGTATACTTCCAAAGAGGGTAGGAACTACTTGAAAATGAGAGCACTTGAAAACTATTTCTCTTGCCATAATACAGGCATGCATTTGTCTAAGAAAAGTATGATGCGAGTTGTAAACATGATGCTACATTTTCCAGAAGTTACATTCAGAGAAAAAGAAAAAGAAAACAGATCACTAGGTACTAGTGGCTTGTACCTGTCATCCTAGCTACTCAGGAGACTGAGATCTAAGGATCCTTGTTCAAAACCAGCCCTAGACAGATAATCTGGGCAAATAAATTCCCCCTATCCTTCCACAATAAGAAAAAAAAATCTTGCAGTCTGGTGGGTCGTAACATTCCAAAGCTGATATTTGTACTGTCCTTGAGCAGCAGGTCCTTAAAAGAAACACTTGGCCAGTGTGGTACTTATCCCTGTGCCTGATGCTACTTTTCCTTTCAAGCTGACATACAAGCTGGGTGTCCTTGGCTCAACTCTATAATCCTAACTAGTCAGGAGGCTGAAATCCAGAGGACCACAATTGAAGGCTAGTGCAGACAGAAGAGTCAACAAGGCTCCATCTCCAAAATAACCAGTAAAAAGCTAGGATGGAAGTGTAGCTCAAGTGGCAGAGCAACAAAAGAGCAAGCACATAAAAAATGCCCTACAGACCTGGGAATGCTACTCCTCAAGGAAAGATGCCAACACTGCCCTACCGGACCAAGGCATCAGGAGAGATAATGGTGGGTAAATAATGGCTCAGAACCCAGGGGTAGCTAGTGCTGCTGAAAGGGAAGTGGGGAAATGGATGAATCTGAGAATGGGAATTTACAAAGAAAGAAAACAATGACTTCTAAGCACACCGAGGAAGGGCAAGTGGTCAACCAATGTCTCTTTCCCAAACAGCCTTCAGCAAACTTCCAACTCATCTCCTACCAACTACCTTCAGACATCCGTTAACCATGTCTTTCACAGAACTACCACCTGCACTGAGACATGCCAGGAAGGCTTGGGGCCTGCTATGCTCTCTCATTTAGCTCTTGCTTTTATGAGCCAGCCCCAATCATATTCACCATCAACTCTTACACAAAAGGTGCCAAAACCTGACCTTCACAAGGACACACAGGTTTACATGGTCTTAAAATTCCTTTCCAAAAGAACATGACCTCCCGAAAGAATTAAAGGTCTTATTACATAAAGAATCAAAAGTTCTAGCTCTCTTCCTCAGCCAGGGAGCCAAAGGGAAGTTAAGGAAGCTGTTTCTTTTGAAACTTGGACTGAATCTTTGCCCTGGGGAACCTACCCAGGTAAGAAAAAAAAAAAAGATTTCTCAGATTTCCATTCTCACTTATTAATAGAATATTCCTGACTGAGAATTAGGTCTCAAAAATTCAGTCTTTTCTTTGCTGATTATATAGTACCATTGTCTCACTGTAAGCAAAAATCTGATAAGAACTCTTTTCCTAGGCCTTGTCCTCTTGTGAGCATATTATTTGCATTATCCAAAGAAATTAATGTTAATATTTAGAATAATCCTCATTAGTAGTATAACATTCTTAATATTAGTAAGAATGATTTTTATTAGATATAAGTAGTTTCAGAATTATTTCTAGTTATTCTCTCATTTGACTCATCGAACTACAAATAATTATGAAATTCCTATGTGTCCTTTCAAAACCAAAACATCAGTTCAATATAATAATATACACTAGCTACTCAGGAGGCTGAGATCTGAAGATCCTGCTTTGAAGCTAACCCTGACAGAAAAAGTCAGTCAGACTTGTCTCCAATAAGCCATCAAAATACTGGAAGTGGAGCTGTGGTTCAAGTAGTAAGGCACCAGCTTTGAATGGATAAGAGACAGCTCCCAGGCCTTGAGTTCAAGCCCCAGTACTGGCACAATAAACGTCACATATTATATAATAAATATAATGTTATATATCCTATGTATGCATATATATAGTATATATAGTGTGTATACACACACACATACACACACACACACACACACACACAATTATATTTAGTATGGCCACTAAGAAAACATTACCTATTGCATCTTCTTGCCTGGTTTGCTGGCTTTTTTACTTATTAGAATCAACCTTACCTGTGGTCCTCCTGATCTGCAGCTGTCAGTGGAAAAAATCAAACTTCCTTATCTTTTCTTTTGCTCCCTTCTTCTGATGAGTTTGCCCTACAGATGCCCTCCCCCTCCCTCCTTACCCAAAGATTGAAAGAGATGAGCCACTTTACATACGTGTTTGAAGGATGCATGAGGAGCTGCCCTTGCACCTGTCTCCTCCAGGTATTCTCCCCAGTTAAAGCCGATTTCCTCCAAGCTGGAGCCTTCCTCTGCAGAGATTTTAAAAAAAGAAAGAAAATCAGTAAGAGGGCAAAGCACAGAAAGGCACTGGCCTTCAACTGGGTGCAGAGAATCCTTGATGGAAGAGACAGATCAATTCAGTGGCTTAGAAGAACATGCGGAATTCTTTGCAAAACCTTCGTAAGAGAGGTAGAAGCCTTCTTTGACTACCCTGCCAAAAATCGATGGTCAGGACACATGAAAGAGACTCATCTCAAGCCCCTACTTGTTGCACAGTAATGCATTCGTTTGCCATTCATCCCGGACACCCTACCCTGTGGGAAGGACGGAGGAGCAGAAGAAGGGTACTTCCAGGAACTGAGTCTGTACCACTATACCCACAGGTACCAGACCTATCTTTCTACTGAATACATACCCTAATGAAAGATGATAAAACAGTATCTTTAACTACTAGTGCCACAAGGGACTTGATTTTACAAAACAGTAACAGAAAAAGTTCCTTTTTCCCCTTTTAGAAGGGGAAAAAATGGAGGGCCAGAAGGATTGCTGGGGCATGAGGCCACCTTGCAAGTTGGTGACAGAAAGAGACCAGCTGCCTGCCTGGCCCTGTCCTGGTCCCCTCTCCTGACAGGAAAGATCAATCAGGGTCATTCATACCAGAAGAACACACTAGAAAAGAACATATGTTTCTCTGGTCACGGAACAAGGAGAAGTCCAATCAAATGTACAACATGTCTCTTCAAAAATCAAAACTATGGGAGGAAGGGACTGGAAGAGAGTGAGGGAACAGAAGACACTATGAAAGGAAATCTACTCACTGCCTGAGTCATGTAATGATAATCGCTCTGTACATTGCCTATATGATAACAATAAATTAATTTTTTTTGTTGGTCATGGGGCTTGAACTCAGGGCCTGGGCACTGTCTTTTAGCTCTTCAGCTCAAGGCAAGCACTCTACCTCTTGAGCCATTTCCAGTTTTCTGGTACTTAATTGGAAATAAGAGTCTCACAAACTTTCTTGCTCAGGCTGGCTTTGAACCACAATCCTCAGATCTCAGTCTCCTGAGTAGCCAGGATTATAGGTGTGAGCCTGGCTTACAATAAATTAACTCTTAAAAACTCGGAACTACTTTAAATCTGCACAGACCCAGCCACTAAGTCTCTGAAGGAAATCAAGTGATTGCCAAAGACACTATGGCTATGCCTTAAGATACCATATGCATAACTGGAGAGCACTAATTAATGTATTTTAAGATCCAGGTGGCATTATCATTTCTAGTAGAAGAGTTAAGAAATGCACGTGTTATTTTAACCTCTCCACCACAGGCTACCACACAGGAGAATCCACAGCAGGAAGAGCTGCCTGAACATGCAAATGGAGCTTCAAATTTTATATTCTCTTCCTTTTCAATAATGCTCAATGCATGGCACCATTGTGCCCATGAGTCTTTCCCAAGCAGGAGGCAATTTTACTGGTGATGAGGAAATGCGGCTTTCCAGCCTGTGGTTGGTACAGAAGTGGCACACCTGTCCAGTGTCCCAGGGCTAGCAGGGATTGAGGATCTAAGTAGGAAGGTTCTAGATCTTTTTTTTTTCTACTGGGGATTTTTAAATATACTCGGCAGGGTCCTGGCACTGGATAGAAAGGAGTAGTTTTTAAAAATTTAGAATGCTAAGTCAAAGGCCAGAACCATAACTATTGCTTTATATAATCAAAGTTTCTTAGAACTGCTTCTCAAATGTTACTCCAATAAAATGACTTATAATCAAACAGCCAAGAGATAAGGAGGAAAGGCCACCTTCACGGACTAGGGCCTTTCAACAACAAGCAGGCTTCTTAAAAGAAGTTAATGGGAGAGCCAGGCATCAGTGGCTCAGGTCTGTAATCCTAGCTACTCAGGAAGCTAATATTTTAGGATTGAGGTTCAAAGCAAGCCAGGGCTGGAAAGTCCATGAGTCTCTTATCTCCAATTAAATGCCAAAAAGCAAAAGTGGAGCTGTGTCTAGCCTTGAGTTCAAAAGCTTAAGTAACAGTACCTAATTAATTAATAACTAATTAATAAAGTTAATGGTGGATCCTAATCCCCTAGCTAATGATAAATGATGGTAGGGTTTTGACTTGCATGGACACAGGGAAGCCACCCAAAGCAAATACAGTCATATTCTAAAATACATGCCAGGCGGCAGCTGTCAGCCCTGTGCTACTTTGTCCCTGAGCAGCACATCTGGACATCTCTCAGCATAGTTGCTGTCTGGTCCACTGGTGAGAGGCATGATGTTAGCACTGGGCCTTTGCCAAAACAGCAAAGGAGGACTGGAGCCTAGTGCAGATCCTGTCCAGAACTTCTTCTCAGCCACGCATCTGGCTCACACCCTGTCTTCCCATGGACCCCACAGTCAGAATCAGACACCATCATAAGATTTGAGGTCTGCGCTCTGTCAAGAGCACCACACACAGCCTCACAAATCTTCCAAGAAACACGACAGATGGACATCCCCAGAAGAGCTACCAGGAGCTCAGAAAGGTGAGGGACTCAATGTTACTGCAATAGTCTCAGTGGAGGGTGGGCTGCAGAGCTGAGCTCTTAGTAATCATGGCTTTTGAGCTTACTATCAGAACTCAGAAACTCCACCACCACCTCTACCTTCTGTCTACCTGGGATGACAGGCCACCAAACCTGGTGCATCTGTCACTCTATGCTAGGAAGCATTCCAATATCCTTCGGCCAGACACACAAGCCAGGGGCAGAACCCATCATCCAAGTACCCACCGTGAGGGGGATAAGAGAGGGCAGAGTCCCTAGAGGCTGTGGATGATGAAGAAGAGAAGCTAAGCTGGAAGAAGACCTAGGCAGGAAACTCAGCCGTTGGCCTGAGAAGGCAAGAAGCGACCACACAGCAGCCCCCTGAGAATGTCAGCTGTTGAAAATGAATGGGAGCTGGTCCTGAGCAAGTCACTCCCTCACCCCAAAGAATGTTCATTCACATCTAGGCTGAGCCATCTGACCCTGCCTGCTGCTCTTGATACCTCAGTTTAGAGGCCCCAGCCCTCATCACCATGGCTGATAAGGAGATGGGGGACAAGGCCTCAATCTGAGACTCTGAGACTTTTTGTTGTAGCTCTGTATTCCTCGTAAAATTCTAATTCACACTACTTGTAATTTCACCAAAAGTTGTTTCAACCAAAGTTCAAGCCACTACAAACGACATTTCCAGTCCCCTCCCCAATATAACGAGCTCTGTCTCCTTTGGGGCTCATTTATTTATTCAGTCAGCTTGACAAGACAAAAATCAGACAGCTCCCAGTATCTCCCCAGTGGAATCAGGAAGACATTAACTTTGGTCATTCCTTCCTTGGCCTAAAGAAAGACTTTATAAAGTACCCCCAAAAGTCATACGCAAAATGGAATTTGAAAAAGAAAAACTGTATGCCTGGCCACTGGTGACTTGAACTGCATTGTTTGAACAATAAAGACATCTACAAAATACTGTGTCACATACAATCTTCTCTGGGCCTAGGAGCCCCAGGCAGTCGATTCTCTAAAGACATTTCAATGAGCATTAGATAAACACACACAATGTTATGAGGAGAGGTCCCATAAACCCAGAGCAAATATTTACAGCTGATTCATAAGCCTCTTAAACCCATAAACATTTTATCAAGGAAACTCTGACAATCTTCCTCCGCCATAAATTGAGCCACTGGGAGGCACTTCCCTTGTGACGTCATGAAACCTGACTGTGAAAAGATGCTAAGAAAACTTCACGGTTTTGAAAGAAAGCTGGAGTGCTTGTGAGCTGCAGTGATCCACTGTGGATCTGTAATAAACATTCAAAAGAAAATACCTTATTAAAAGCTGGAGCCCATGTGAAATACGCTATAAACAAACTCATGCTTTCTCTTGGGTAAACCTTGGGTTTCACCACTTTCTAATCTGAAATGACACTGATTTTGCAAGGCTGAATATTAAATCCTATAGCCACTATTTAATGATAGTGGGAATGGGCAGGTAAAATTGCTGGATAAGCATTCTTTTTTTTCTTTTTTTTTTTTTTTTTGGTCAGTCATAGGGCTTGAACCCTGGGCCTGAGCGCCACCTCTCGGCTCTTCAGCCAAAGGCTAGCGCTCTACCACTTGAGCCACAGTGCCACTTCCAGTTTTCTGGTGGTTTATTGGAGGTAAGAGTTTCATAGCTTTTCCTGCCTGGGCTGGCTTTGAACTGCAATCCTCGGATCTCAGCTTCCTGTGTAGCTAGGACGACAGCCGTGAGCCACCAGTGCCCAGTGTTGAGTAGGCATTCTTATGTACTAGGCGGGCGTTTTGTTTCATTTTGTTGTGGGGGGAGGGCTGGTTGGTTTTTTTTTTCATTTTTATTTGTTTGTTTTTGCCAATCTGGGGCTTGAACACCAGGCCTACATGTTGTCCCTGAACTTTTGTGCTCAAAGACTGTATTCAACCATTTGCACCACTGTTCCATTTCCATTTCTTTCTTGCCCGGGCTGGCTTTGAACCCCAGTAGCTAGGACTATAGGCATGAGCCACCACCAGTGAGTGACCAGCTTCTAAGTGCTTTCTAAATGCAGGAAGAGACAGGAAGAAGAGATTAGATCTTCTTTTCAATACTAACATTCAGAGTTCATACTATCCTAAGGAGTAGAAAATTGTGCAATTGTGAATACCAGTGTAAATAACTCACAAAGCAACTCAAGCCATCGGCCGCCCTGAAGGTCCAACTCACACTGAAGACACCAGAGGCCAGAACAATCATCTCATCATCTCATCAGAGCACAAAGATCTGCATGACTGTCCCTACCACTCGGGGGGTGGAGGAATAACCATAAAAAACAAGCTGGGTGCTGCTGACTCATGCTTATAATCCTAGCTGAGATCTGAGGACCATGGTTCAAACCAGCCCAGGTAGGAAAGTCTGTGAGATTCTTAAGTCTGATTCACCAGCAAAAAGCCAAAAGTGAGAGCTTTTGCTCAAGTCATAGAGCTCTGGACTTCAGCATAAAATGCTAAGTTAGAGCTCTCAGACCCTAAGTTCAAGTCCCAGGACCAGAACAAAAAAAATAGAGTTAAGAGAGTAAATACGTATAAAGAATTCAAAATATTGAGGATCTGTCCGAACTCACACATGGACATGATCATCCGTAATTTTCAAATCCATAGAGAATCCACTAAAGAACACTAAATTTTCCTTCTCTTGGACAGTTGATCCTGAAGTCTCTTCCAGGAAAAGACCCTGAGCATTCAGTCTCTGTCTGCATGGCTCCTGGTAGACCCCAGAACCAAATATCCAAAAACTGATTCCAGAACTGAAAATATTTTATATGCCAACAAGTGAAGAAAATAATAATAGACAACTCAAGGAATCATACTTGATCATGTGGTCAATAGTCCAAATGCTTAAATCTGGAAGATGTGGATTTTGAGAACGAAGTGAAGCTTTAAAGCCTGCTCAACCATTTCTAGCCCATATTCTGGGCACCAGATTGTTCACGACCTGGGAGGCTAAGAATGAGTAGATCACAGTTTGAGGCCAGCCTGGACAGAACAGTTCACAAGACCATTTCTCAACCCACAGGTGAACATGACAGGATACACCTGTAATACTAGCTTCCCAAAAGGCTGAAATTGGGAGGATCGTGTCAGCCCCTTAAAACAGTCTACACGGAAGGAGCTGGGCACAGTATCACAGATGGTATGCTAAAAATAGACTGCAGTCCAGTCACATGCCATGGCATGAAGTCCCTTTCTCAAAACTTACCAATACAAAGAAGGGTTAGAGGTGTAGCTCAACAGTAGACTGCCTGCCATGCAAGGTCAAGATCCTGAGGTCAAACCCCAGCATCATAAAAATAAATGACTGATGGACTAAATAAATAAATAAGCCCCATCCCAACAGTCTCCTGGCCACAGGAAAACGTATGCAAATTCTAAGGAGAGAAGACAGATGAGTCACATTGCTAGAAACAAACCTGGGTCATAAGGATAATTTAGACTTATTTAGAAAGAGTGGACCATCTACCATACAAAAGCACAGAAAAGTCTCCAGGTGAGAACCTGATGGGCTGTGGCGTAAAATCCCCCAGGGGATAATAGTCTCCGTCTCAAACTTTCCATCTATGAACTCGTTCTCAAGGAAACATCAGGACAAACAATTTCCTGACAGCAGATTATCATCAACAAATTTCACAATCGACTTAAGCTACAGAGATATATTGTAGCTGCATGAAAATGGAAGGCTAATAATAAGACATAGCTAGCTTTTAGGCCATTCTGAAAACACATCATTGAAAACGATATAGTCATGGACTATGTGCATGGCATAGTTCAGAAATACAGGCCAGTAGTTCACATCTGTAATCCAAGCTACTCAGTAGGCTGAGATCTAGAGGATGGAGGTTAAAGCCAGTGTGGACATAAAAAAAAAATCCCTGGAACACTCATCAAAATAATAAGCAAAAAAAAGCAGTTCTCGAGGCATTGCCCAAGTGATAGAACACCAGCCAAGCCATGGTACAGGCACATACACTGCTTAGACAAAACAGCAAATCCCAGGGACAGGCAGTATGTGAGGTCGAGTAAAAAAATCTCCACTGTTTCCTGAACATTTCTACGTCCAGAAGAACTAAGCAAGCAAAGTCATACCTGAATCAAGATCTCCATTTCCATTGGCTGAGCTGACATGCTTTTCCAAAGATGAAGATGAAGAATCTTGCATGTTGAAAATGGACCGACTGCTCTCCATGTCTGAGAAGTGACTATCTTCTTCCCTTAGTTCATCCTGCAGCCAAGAGTAAACACGAGAGCACTTGAATAATATGAAGCCATATACACTCATTTCTAAACTCTCCTGTAGTAACATTATGCTCTCAAAGAGTTGCTATCAATTCAGTATAGCATTTAAGCAAAAGGTAATGTTGGCAATAGAAAATACCAGGAATAAAGACAAGTGCATCTCTATGCAAGGTCAACAACCAAGGTCATTGCACAGCAAAAGCAGAAACTTTCTCAAGGTCGACAACACCACCTATATGGACATGATTTTCCAGGATAAGTAGAACTTACATCTCAGTCACCATGGTTACATGGGACAAATCCCCTCTGTCTCTCTCTCCATGCTGAGAAGGAGCAAGCCCTCCTCAACCTCGGCACCCCTCCCGAACAGATACCAACACTTGGTATCTTGATCGCGGAAGAAGCCCTTATGCATCATGGGTGAACTAGTACCCAAACCAGTGACAGTCTCCGCACTTGTGTGCTTTATGAATTAGAAGACTTCTCCCACAACACACTGTCCTTCTCCACTTACTTTCTCATATGACTGGGAGAAGAGCTGAAAATTCCTGGTGGTTCTCCCAGGAGGCTTAAGTGGGAACCCATGAGATACCAAGAGCAATCACTGCCAACCATCAGCCACTCCATGTCCCTGTGGTGGTGTGAAGTCTTCCACTTATTTCATTGTCTCTTTCATTTTACAAGCTTGAAAAAGTTTAAGTCCACAAAGAGCAAGCACAGAACTGAGTGTGAGTGGCTCATTCCTGTAATTTAAGCTACTCGGGAGGCTGATATCTAAGGATCATGGTTCAAAACCAGCCTGGGCAAAAAAGCCTGTAAGACTTTTATCTCTAATTAACTACACACACACACACACACACACACACACACACACAGCCAGAAGTGGAGAAATAGTTCAAGTGGTAGAATGCCAACCTTGAACAAAAAAAAAAAAGCTAGGAGACAGTACCCAGGCCCTGAGTTCAAGCCCTACTATCAGTCCAAAAAATAAGAAATAAATAGCAAGGACAGATGAAGAGAAGAAATAATATGGTATATATATATATATATATATATATATATATATATATATATATCAACTTATCAACTGACTATTGTGTGGCTCACATAGTGGAAAATTATCTTAAAATACACACACACATGCAGACCTCTACCTCTTTGGTGACATTTAATTGCCCTTCATAGCAAACACTGGGAAATTTTGTCCAAATTGAAGGTTCATAAAATATTGTTAGTCATTTGTGCTGTGCCACAGTAAGGGTTGAAAAGGTTGCCAAAAGCCAACAAGGAATATACCCAATGGAATTCTATGCCTCCATCAGAAAGAATGACACTACCCCTTTGTTAGGAAATGGAAAGGCGTGTTAAAAATTATATTAAGTAAGCCAGGCCCAAAGAAACATAGGTCTCATGGTTTCCCTTATTTGCAATATCTAGTATATGAGTCAAGCAGAAAAGGTCAGATAAGTTGATGTAAGGGAAAATGAACCCTAAGATATATATTCAAATGTTTTTTTTCTTCCGTGCGATTGTTTCTAACACATTTATAAGATTATTTCTTTGTTGCTTTGTATGTCCTTCCCCCACAGTATAACCCCTGCTTTCACTGTATTTGATGTCGGTATAATTTGTGTGGGGGGGGGGGAAGGGGAAAAATTGTTTAAATAGGGATACAGGTGGACCCATTGCAACAATGAGATGTACAAGTTGTTATGTCGAAAATGAACTTTACAACTTTGGTGACGTGGGGAGGGGGAATGGAAAGGGATGGGAAGGGGAAACAAAGGAGGAGGCTACAATGTTTGATAAGAAATGTACTCATTATCTTGCCCATGTAATTATAACCCCTCTGTACAGTATTTTCACAATAAAAAAAAGTCAAAAAAAAAAAAAGCAACCAAGGAAAAATAGAAATGGATCAGGTACCCAGCACAGGAAGGTGGCACTTATTTGACTACCTACCTGTTGCATGTAAAGTATTATGCCAGACACAGTGTGGAGGTACAAAGCTATTTCTTGATCCAGATACAAAATAAGAAAAGAAATTATATATGTTTTTATAAAAACACCTTGACTGGTTCATTAACCACAAATCTAAGCATTTTGCCACTGGGAAGATAAGTTCATGAATAACCAAATAGGATGACATTCAAAGACATAAACCTGAAAAAAAATAGACTCTCTTTCATTCATCCAACACACTCTGAGCACAGATGACAGTATTTACTACAGCAAAAATGAGGGCATATGGTCTGAATGGCACAAGTCAACATCAGTGATGCAAAAAAAAATTAAATTGAGGCTGTCCCAGAAAATCAGAGATCCATGAGCAAAAAGGCAGGGTCTGAGGTTGAAAATGGATCCTTCAGATTGCTTAAAATCATACAAGGGCCAGACACTGGTGGCTACTCAGGAGGCTAAAATCTGAGGACCATGGTGTTCAAAGCCAGTCTGGGCTCCAATTAACCATCAAAAAGCTGGAAGTGGAGCTGTGGCTTAAGTGGTAGAGCACCAGCCTTGAGAGAACAGAAAAAGCTCAGGGGCAGCATCCAGGCACTGAGTTTAAGCCCTAGGGTTGGCATACACACATAGATCACACAAGGGAAAGTAAGTGCCATGCTTTAAGATGCAGGCAGACATCCTGTAGCAGAGTGTAGAATGCAAGGAGGAGAGCAAGGCTGGATGGAAGCTGAGTAAAGGGGAGGGCCGGTACTAAGTAAAGAAGGAACCAAGGAAATGAGCTCAAGAGGTACTTAAAGGTATAATCAACAGAACACAGAGGAAATAATTCTACCAAAATGCCATCTTTTCCCAGCATGTGGTCACAAATGCCAGGATAATTTACTAGGCTTTCCACAGCTAGGTTTCAGCATCTAATGGAGCCTATCAAAATAGACAGTTCTGAGGGGAAACACATTAAATATGGGAAGGACATATCATTTCACAGAAATCCTATTTGCTTTCTCTCTCTCTCTCTCTCTCTCTCTCTCTCTCTCTCTCTCACACACACACACACACAACTATCCAGGGTATTTTAAAAATTAAACCCTTGGGCTGAGAAGGTGGCTCAGTGGTAGAGTGCTTGCCTTGCATGCCTGAGGCCCTGGGTTCGATTCCTCACCACCACATAAGCAAAAAGGAAAGAAAAGCCGGAAGTGGCGCTGAATAAACTTTAAAAAAATAAATAAATAAATAAATTAAAATTAAACCCTTTTACCTAACAAGAATATCCTAACCCCCAGATAGCTATTTTTTTTAAAGGAAGTATATTTCCGAGTAAGTAAAAGTGTCTGTTAATGTAAGCAAGATCTTTTTTTCACAAGGACACATAACCTGGGCATGGTAACTTCCTGGTTTGTGCAACAAGTAATGTGATTTGTGTCTCAAGTACACTACACAACAATAAGCTCTTCTCCTCTCTACAACTGGTATGCCAGAGAACAGTGCTGAACCTAGTCAGCAGTTTGGGGCTGTAACTTAGAGTAAGCAGACCCCATCTAGCTCTTTGACGTAAACAAATGACTCAACCTCTGTTCCTCACATTTTTTCATGCATTAAATAAGGCTTGATTATGACACAGTCAAATGTTTCAACGCTAAAATGCTCTCAATCTACTATATACTTTCCATTTCAATTATATATTTCCTCCATCGAGGTGTAACCATTTCTCCGAATCAAATTTCACCTAGTAAGCATTTTCTACTCCTGACTCGACCCTGTTTCCTTCCTTCATCTGGCATGTATTTGCAGAATATAACTAATTTTAGCACAGACTAAGCTAATCTTTGTTAGGGAGGAAGTGACTAGGTAAGAAAGTTCATTGGATAGGATTCAAAAACCAATCAGAAACCATCAGGGTCCCACTGGCTATTCTGAAAAGCCCTAGTCCAGCAGTGGCCACTGGAATCTTCTGTAGTTGGACCTGGCACAGAATGGTAACGACTAGACCCATGTGAATACTGGGTACATGAGATATAGTGAGTGAATTCAATTAAGGACTTGAATTTTAGTTTTTGTTACTTTAAACGTAAATGGCTATACATGGCTAGCGGCTGCTGCACTGGGCAGGCCAGGCGGACCCCTGCATTGGTAGGCCGTACTGGAGAACTTGGAATGTGTCCTAAATAACCACCCGTCCTTGGCTCTCTCCAAACTTTTAATTTAATAATGCCAAGCTAGTTAAAAGAGAACACAGGAATTTTAAGACCTAACAAACTTCAAAAGGAGATTGAGTTTCCCTCTAATATTCCACATATGATTCATGGCAAGCTTCCTAATGTACGAGGTTTTTATTCAATGTGCTGCAATTTTTCTTACATCAATACAATTTCCTAGGGGAAGTCATCTCAGAAACTAAGTTATATGTGTCCTACTAAGATTATTTCTGTGTCTTATTCATTTATACATTGAACAAAGTGGGATGTCACCTGAAAAGTGGATTCAAGCACAATGAAGAAAAATAAAAGCCCAGGAATGTAACTATTAATACATCTGCCATCAAGTACCAGTAGTTTCTATGGCAATTATCCAACTGGTAAAGAAGTTGGCTAGGAGAAGGAAGGAAGATGGGAGGCAATCAACAGGGAACCGCTGCAGCTCTCTCTAACAAGACACAGATTTGGGGTCCTAACATGCATTTCTCCCCTGAGAGATTCACAACAGCAAATATGTGAACAGCAGAGAGTCATGGGAACTAAAAACAACTAATAACTTCTGCTCATAAGGATAGAAAAGTTGCTATGGCTCTTCAGTGGTTCAAGTCTTAATCCCTAGTGCCAAACCACACACTACAGAAAGGTAATATCGGACTGGAGATGTGAGCATTGATTTAAATGCACTGAATCAACCATTTTAAATGGAACTCAAGGGTCACAAGAGAAACAGAAAAACAACTGACTCATTGGCAGAGTCAAATTCCCTATCTTTCTTGTAAGGAAAAAAGGTATTCCAAACAGAAACTACCCAGGTGCTTGGAAAAATTTACTTGTTTTTGGAAAATGATGTGTCATACTTTTTCAACAATGTTTACTTTTTTCTTTCTTATACAAGATACAATCCTGACAGAAATCCAGGGGAATCAATTATACAATAAATTTAAAATAACTTGTAACCTTAATACCTACAGAAAACTACTTCCATAGGTATAATGTCTTCTGATGTCTTCTTTGTGCTTTTTTTTTCTTAAGTTCATGGAGAATTAAGAACTCTAATCCATTGTTCATCCAACATTACATTAAAAAAACTTCCTTTCGTCATGAAAATTCTTTGAGAACATTACTTGAAATAGTTGCATACTTTTTATGCATAATTTCTAATCATTCAGCTGTTAGGGTTTATTTTTCCCACCATTATAAACAGTGCTGTGGTCATCATTCCCAGACATAAATCCTGTATTTCCACTGCTTCTTTCATGTGGAATCCGAGAAGTTAAATTATAGGACCAAAACTATACAGCTAAAAAATAATGGAATCAGCCCAGGTGCCCATCAGCAAATGAGCAGATAAAGAAAATATGGCATTTGTGTACAAACTGAAGTACTGATCAGCCATAAAGAACAAAATATGTCATCAGCAGGAAAATGGGTGGAACTGGAGATTCTCATATTAAGCAGAATTATTAAGCCAGACTCAGAAAGACAAATATCACTCTTTTCTTTCCTACTCATAATCTAGAATTTTTTTTAAAGAGATAAAACTAAGAGAACTACTGAAGGACTACTAACCACCAGAAAGAAGAATGAGGACAAGAGAGGGTGAAGGAGACAATTGGGATTGAAGCACATAGTATGCAAGTATGAACGTGTCAGCAAGAAATATATCACTTTCCCCAATTAAGAAAAGTATTACATATATATGTATATGTATGCAACATGTGGGTGGAGATGGAAGGGTAAAAACTGGGAGAGAGTGAGGGGCGGAGTGACATTGTCCAAAAAGAAATGTGCACATTACATGACTTATGTCTACAGGATCTTTTCTCCATCCACTTTCAATTTGATACTCAAAACACAGCCAGCCTCTACAATATGTAACTGTCCTCCGGTGCCTCTTTGGGATCCCTTCTGTACTTAATTCTATTAGTAAGTTTGATGGACGTTTAAGAGCGTGATATTTGATCTCACAAAACTGGTTTTCCTAACTGTCCCCTGAGTGGTTGCTCCTGACATAAAGAATGTTGGTGTTTTGTTTTAAAGCTTTTCTTTCAACGCAGTTAAATCTATTCATTTGCTACCTTTCTTCTAAAACTAATATTCATAAAACATTCTCCCAGGCTCTGAGTTGCCCGTTTTTAGGATTTCAAATTTCATGTTTAACTTTTCTAACACAGGAGGGACTGGTGCTTATATTGTGAATTGCTCCTCAGAGCTTATCAGCCTCTTTTCCCCATCCCAGTTAACAACCACTCCTACCTCATTGCCTGTCTTTACCAGATACCACATTCTACTCTACACTATGCTTCAGTGCATAAAACACAAGCTATAACTACTGTTCAAATATCCCTTAGTTAAGCAATCATCAAACATGAGGGTCATTTAAGCTTCTAGAGGAATGACTTCTCCAAGTCTTGGAACCCCATTCTCTAACCAATTTAACATCACATTTTAAGGAGCAAAATATCTCTGAAAATACCCAGAAACTATAGAAATTGCTATGGTTAAATGCTGAGCACTGGTGGCTCATGCCTGTAATCCTAGCCTTCTCAGCAGGCTGATGTCTGCAGATCCTAGATCAAAGTCAGCCCAAGCAGACAAACCTGTGTAACTCTAATCTCCCATGAAGCAACAAAAAGCCCAAAGTGGAGGTGTAGGTGTAGTTCAAGTGGTAGAGTACAAACAATGAAGCAAAAATTAAAAAAAAAAAAAAGACTACAAGACTCTGAGTTCAGGCCCCAGTAATAGCATAAACAAACAAACAAGGTTAGAGACTGTTAATTGTTCCCCCAGGCCCATTTTCTCCTATGTGATCATAAGGAATCACCAGCTAACTGAAAGAGACATTTTCCAGACTCACCGGCC